TGGGAGTTGAAGTCCACACATCTGAAAGCTGCCTAGGTTGAGAAACCCTGTGCTAGGCCATAAATGGTTTACAAACCACAGGGGCTGGTTTCACACCACATGTTAGGCCTGGAGTGGAAAAAGTTCTGCCCAAGAAATGTGTGAGACCCACCAGCATCTATCTGGTGGCCCCTGGAGAGCCCCCGGAGTGAGGAGGGCAAAGGGTGAAACAGTCAGTTGTGTGCTGTTTTCATCATTCACTCTAAACAGGGTTAGGTGGACCCATCTCAACTTGATTTTCAGAATTGGGGCAGATCTCAGGGAGGCAACCTCTCATGGTGGACCCTTTGGGGCTTGTGGATCTTGAGAAGAGGAGAGGGTCATCCTTTGCCCTTCCTGGCTGATTCATGGTCATGAGATGATCTAAAGGAGATACAGGAGAAATAAGACTTGACTGAAGCACCCAGTGCAATTATAGACCAGTCTCCAGGGTTCTGTCTTTGGAAATGGTGATTGGGACATTTTGGACTGCAACTCCCATGATCCTCAGCCAGATGAGCAACACATCTGGAATGGTTCAAGGTGGGGAAGGCCGTCCTAGATAGTAAAGCTCTCTTAGGGGCAGACAGGGAGTCAAGGAGTAGTAACAGCATCTGGAAGTCTTGCAAAGAATGCTGGCTGATTTATGAGATGTTATGAATTCTCCTCTCTCTCTTAGGAGGAAAAGATGCTTGCAGTGGGGACTCTGGTGGCCCCATGGTGGCTTGGAGCAACCGGACCGGCCAATGGCAACTCATAGGGACCGTATCTTGGGGCGACGGATGTGGCTTGCAAAACCGCTATGGAGTCTATTCTAACGTTCTCTTGTCCCTCCCTTGGATAAGGCAAGTTGCTCAGATGGAAGACTGAAGCCTCATCTCCAGATGGTCGGCCTGCCATCTCATCTCATCTCATCTCATCTCATCTCATCTCATCTCATCTCATCTCATCTCATCTCATCTCATCTTTTCCTCCTTCCTTCCTTCCTTCCTTCCTTCCTTT